TTGATAGACAATTTGCCCTACAGTTGTCAGAGCATCTGAACTTAAACCACCACCGGAATATCCTATTAATCATGTGTTGGGTTTTCGGACATGGTATGATGTTTCAGGTGAAAAAAAAAAGGGAGAGTGTATGGTGCTGGAGGATACGCTAAAACTATCAAGCGGCGTGATAGAAGTTTTAGAATGAGACTTGCTGATGGAGAAGGAACATCAACTCCACCTATATTAACCGCATGAAATGCTTGAAACAGTGAGAAATTTGGCGAATACTTAGGCAACACTCCACATAGCAGTAAGAAATGCAGAAATTGAAGAGATGAAGAAAAAACAATTAGAGATGCAACAAGAAATACAGATAAAAGAAACAGAGTTGCGGGAAGAAATGAAGAGGCAAAGACAAGAGTATCAGGAAGAAATGCGGATTGCAAATGAGCGGGTTCAAAGATTTGATCAAGTTTTTTGCTTCACAAAATCCGGTGGTGGATTTAGAGGAACTAGTGGATATGGAGAAATTGTTGAAGAAGAAGAGCAAGGAGAAGAACAAGATAAACAAGAATAGGATCATTAAATTTGAAAATTTATATTTATTTTAATTTGTATAAAAGAAAATTATGTTAACTATTTTGATCTTAAGAAATTTATTTTAATTTGCATGAAGTTTTATTTTAATTTTATTTTTAAATTTGATTGAATTTTAATTATTATATTTATTATGTTTAATTATATTTATTATATTAATTTTATTTTAATAATATAATTAATAGAATTATTATTACTGGTTTTTATTTTATAATATTAATTTTTTTTTATAAATATTTTTACGATTTGTCAGGGGATAAACTTCTGAGAAAGTGTCAATGTCTGAATTTTGCCAAGGGCTTGACCCTTCGCAATGGAAAAACATTTATATTTTTCCAGGGGCTAAACCCCAAGCAAAAAATTCTGACGCAGTCACCTACCCTGCGCGCCTATGTCTGCATGCTTCAGACTATAAAATTCATGTTGTATTTAGTGAGGGGGTATAACCCCTGACAAATTTTCCACGTGTAAAACCCCTTGTAAATTTATTTGCGATCCCCAGTTTTCCTAGTGGACCAGTCCCCTCGCAAATTTAGCATTTGTGAGGGGGTTTTTGCCATTTGTGAGGGGTTAAATCCCTGACAAATAACATTTTTTTAGTGTTAATAAAATAGGTATAATATTAATAATTCTAATGTTATTTTCTGTACTAGTGACTGGTGCTTTCATTACTGAACCATGTCTCCAAATATCGAAGAGACATGCGAAGAAATCATCACAACATGCATGAGTCAGTGGAAAGAAATGTTGGATGCAGAATTCTTTAAACGTTAATTACCCCATAATCTACCACCATCACTACCACCTCACAAAATATTCCGAAAACCCCAAAATTGTGCATATCTCTATTCGACGGATCTAACCCTTGGATTGGCTTTTCAGGTGGAACAATTCTTTAAACTCACACAAAACACCACCATGATAAAGACTTACTTACATTCCCTTCTATATGCAAGAAACTAACCTAGCTTGGTTCAAATGGATGCATTTCAACCAGCAAATCTCAACCTTTGAAATTTTCACTCGCACTTTCGAACGTCGTTTCAGACCCCTCTTCCTACGAGAACCATCAGGTGGTGTTATTTAAACACAAGCATGTAGGGATGGTAAGGGAATATCATACTCAAATCGAAGCTCTGGCTAATACAATGAATGATCTAGCCGCGGATGCGTAGTTGGACTATTTTTTATCTAGATTGAAACCCAAAATTTATCAAGAACTCACAATCTTATGACCATACAATTTAACTGATGCCATTGGCCTTGCTAAACAAGTGGAATCTAATATTATAGAGAGCATAAATGCTCAAAACCTGCTTCAACATACTTTACATGACCAACCTTAGTAACATAACCCAAACAACTAAACCCTATATCCTAGGGCCGAGGCCTTCACAACCATCAACTACACACTCATTACCCATTCGTAACCTTTCGCAAGAAAATCTCCAAGAGAGGCGTGCAAAGAGATTGTGCTTCTACTTTGATAACAAATTCGTATCAGGCCATCGTTGCAAAAACAAACAATTCAAGATCCTCATCAGTGATGATGAATTTTCCCAACCAGTGGAAAACACAAAACAGGAAACTCTCACACCTATTGAGAATGAGGACCAAAACCCCCCCCCACCGAGGCATCCCTTGACTCTATGCATTTTTACTTATCACACGCCCACACTGGGAAACACATTATCCCCCATACATTATCCCTTGGTAGAATTCCTAAATCTCTCTATTAAAGAGTTCTCACCTTTATCTATTTTTTGGGGTTAACAAAGGAATATATTCAGTGCAAGAGGTGTTGCACAACAGTTCTAGTGTCCCTCTTAGGCTAACTTTTCAACATTCCTATGTTTTGAAATTCTTGTATCAGATATGTGATGTCGAATGAGATGTCATGACACAAATATCTAATTTACAAGTAAAGAGAAGTAAAATCAAAAGTAGTAAAAACACAAGAGATTGTTCACCTAGTTCAGTGTACAATAACACCTACTCTGGGGGCTACCAAGCCAGGGAAAAGTCCACTAAATAGTACTAATTCATAAACCCTCTGTAAACAACCAGTTTACCGATCTAATCACTTAATCACTACCTGTGCTATACTTCTACCTAAGACTCGCCTAGGTATGAGGCCCTCCTCAAATCCCTTCAATCACTTACAGTGAAGAAACAACAAAATTAATAAGTTTAAAAACTTCAATCATTCAATGCTTAAAAGCTTATGAATGATACATAATTAAAACCCAAATAACAACACAAATAATTTAATCAATACTAGTAGAGTGTTTGAAAATTAAAAGACTTAGACTTTTTAAAACAAAAAGAAAGTATTCTTCTTCAAAAGTTGTAGTAGTTTTGAATAAGGAAGCAAGTCCTTATATATGTGCAACTGTGGGCTTGGCTTTAAAACCAAATATTTAATTATTTTGAATATTTCCATAAGAACAGGTCAAGATAAAATCCATAGCATTTTGAAAAATATTCCTCCATATTTTTCGCTGCCGGTGAGTTACAAATCTTGAATTATGGAGCGCTGGAAAATAGGAAACATAAAAATAAATACTGATGTTGGCTGAGATCAGTTCAGGAGGTAGATGTCAAGACATCTACTTTGAAATCATTCAAAACAGTTTGCTACAAATGTTAATTACATTTAGCGAAACATTATTAAGACATTATTTTACCAAAATTACTGCCAACAAATATTTACAAACTCCCCCCTTTGGAAAATTTTTGGCTAAAACATTATCAGAGCATATTATCAGAGCAGCAACATAAGCAAAGCAATCAAAATATAAACTCAGTTAGCAGTTAACTGTTAACAAAGGAAGATGTCAAAACAATATTTTGAGACATGAGGCTCCCCCTCAATTAATGGTCAGTGGTCAGTGGTTAGTCAGTCAGTCAATCACTTTCTCCCCCCCCCCCCCCTTTGTAGTCATAATATGCCAAATATAAGGATGCATTCAAGAGAATATTAGTATTAGGTACACACCATATAATTAAAATGTCAAGCACATGCAAGTGCCAAAAAAAGGAACAAAGAGTTCAGATAAAC